GGAGCATCGCTAGCGCAGACGTCCTCCACGTTTAGAGGAAACTGCTGATCCAGGCACATTCTGGAGTCCTTTTCTGCAAGGACTAAAGATCTTAACAGCCATTTCCCAGCACCTGCCAATACTCAAGGGCTTCTCGCTCCAAGTTGGCTGTTCTTGAAGTCACCTCTCCCAAAATAAAAGCCAAGCCCCTTCTCAGCTTTAGGCACGAGGCTCCTGCGAGCTCCGTCTCACCTGTCTATTGAGAGTGATGGCGCTTGGCTGGCACTTTGTGCAGATGCCTTCTGGCCAAGGAGGGTGCCCTTCACAGCCTGACTTGATCTTACAGCTGATGTTCTCCAGGGCAACAAATTTCCCCCTGCGAGTGAAAGAGGAGGCTGCTGTTACCACATAAATGCTTTTGGGTCTCCAAAAAAGCAAGTGGATAGAAATATAGAGGAAGCAGGGTAATGGGAAACAGGGTGGCACCAATGCTTTCATCTTCAGAGGATCTCAAAGCACCCTGCAAACTCCCACTGGGAGTGATCCCTGAGTAAACTCTGCTGCCCACTTAGTGAGGGAGGTTGAGAGGCTGATGTGTGGTCCCCAACTCAGCTCTAAAGCAGATATTCAAGCAAGAGCAGAGACAGAAAACTCACAGGACCCTGATTAAATAATTCATGCAGCACAGGGGAAGTAAGAGATTATACCACTAGGGCAAATTAGAGCTCCTTTCATGTGCAGGAGGCTTCCTGCAAAGGAAAGTTCCCTTCAAATGGCTTGAGCTGCATCTCACAAAGCCATTAGAAAAATCCCAGTGGCATTCAGGAATAGGAGGGAGAAGGTTACACCTCTGTGTAACTCATCTACAGGAGCTGCACTTCAGAACACAGTGGGTTCCCCAACAGCCCTGAGGGGACTTTAGACCCTTTGCTGATCCTTTTGGTGCTCCCTCTCTGCTCAGCACTTGCCTGGCCTACGTCACCACAGCGTCCTCCACCCCATCAAGGGGTAGGACACATCTTCCAGTTAGTGGGCAATGAACTATGGCACCACGACAGGAAAAGGTTTCACTATGGACACGTGGAGCAGAATCAGGCCCTGGGGCATGTTAGGCTCATCCTTCTGTCCTATTCATGCCTGTAGGTAAGGAAAGCTGTTGGTGAATCAAAGCTCCCCAGTTCCACCACAGACTCAGTGCCTCTCCATGAGGTTTGAGACCCAGGCTTGGAATCATTAGGGAGCCTTTTTCCTTCCATCTGGCTTTCTCCCCCATCAGCAGTGTTTCCTGGAAGCAATTACACTGCCACAGCAAGAAAGAAAAAAGGAAAGAAAAATACATTTGTTTTCCTGCCTTTTTCCCCCTTTTCTTTTCAACGTGCAGTTTTCTCCTCAGTTTGTCCTTCTCCTGTAAGATCTGACTCTGCTGTATTTTAAAAGAAAAAGAAGCTACAACAAGATTCCCTCAAACCCAGAGATTTTCTTACTTGTCTGCCCCTCCAGTCAGCTTCCTGATGTAGGCATGGAACGACATGTGCTTCACAGGAGGTTCCAGATGGTTTAAATAATCCTCATCAAAAGGCTGCCAAAAACACCACACAAAGAAAAGGCAGGTCAGACACCTGTCTGATAACACACTGAGCACGGAACAAATGGATGTTCTAGAGTCAGCCCCTCTGCCTCTCAATGTGGAAGCAATCAAGGAAACTTAGGCTCATTCTCAAGGCAGCTACTACTGTGATACAAACAGTGGGGCTTTACAACAGCGAGTTTTAGGATCGCCTCCTACTTTTCTAACAGATTGGCTCCACAAATCACAATGAGCCTCAAAGGCAAAATGCTTTTTCCCTTTCAATATCTAACAACAAACAAAGGGCCCAGCTGCTCAAACAGGGCCAAAGAACTTCCAGAGCACCCGGCGGGGGAACAGCCCCATCCTGGCTCAAGGGATCTCTGCTTCATGCCATAAATCACACAGCACATTTGTAGGCGTTACTAAAGCTGCCTTCAACCTGAATAATACATGGTTGAACTGGGAAGTGCTGGGATCCACGGGAGAAGGGATGGAACAAGAAAATCCAGGCAAGAGAGAAGAGGGAGAAAAACTAGAGCTTTTCTAAAGGACTTTCTGCTAAACTCATCACTGCAGAGAAGCAGAGCATGAACCAGAATGAACCCAGGGTCACGACAGCCTAGAGCTTTAGTGAGCCTGGATGTGAGCCAGCACCTCTGAGAGCACGGCAGGATCCTGACCCAGAGCTGCCACCTCTGCGTGGGCACTGCTCCGAGGAAAAGCCTCCATCCTGGAGGAACCCGAGTGCAAGAGGACGTGCTTTGGTGTGACTTCCTAGAGCACCTTCCCGGGGCTCTTACCTCCAGTGGTACACAATGCACACACTTCCCCAAGGGGCCGTGGCGACACCTTTGCAAAGAGAAAGAGAAGTAGTGTTAGATCTTATTTAATCATGGAAAACCAGACTGTAAAACTGCTCTAGACTAACAGTTGTGTTGTGCAAGGTCTATACAAACATACAGCTCTGAGCCCCCACCCTCTAGGGAGCATTACAGAGGGGTCACCACAAGATTAAAGGTTCAACCTGAGAGCCCCCGGTCAGGATGAAGCCCTCCTCACGCCTGTGCTCTGCTCTCTGCAGGGCCACTGTCAGATCACAGCTTCTCAAGTTTTACAGCCCCACACTGAGGCTGCTTCTCAATTCAAAGAATTCCAAACCTACGTCACGGGCTTGGCCCGGGTGGCTTTAACAAAGAGACAACCCAAACGTTCAGCCTTTATCAGGCCTCAGAGGATGGTGTGGAACAAACAGGGCAGCGTGTGTTTATCGGGCAGATAAAGACCTGCTGGGGGAAGTTATAAAGCAGAGGGGAAAACATCTCCTTTTGAGGTGATTGCTTTGAAAACAACCCCAAACCAATAAAACCTCCCCCCCTCTGCTCTAGGTCAGAGCTGGTTTCAAAGGAGGCCTCTGGAGAGGAGCACGGTGCTTGTAAAGACAAAATGGATGAGATCCAGTTGCAGCATTGCTTTTAACAAAGTATTGTGGCAGATAATGTACATAAAGGACCTCTAAAGGCTGCTAATGCACTCAGCTGAACGCCAGCATCCCTTCATGTTTAGATTGATATGCACTCCCAAATACAGGAACAAGCCCAGACACACTCTTTTTATCATAACTATCCACCACTGTGCTCTGGCTCCCTGCTAAGAACAACACCTTCATTTATTCTGCTGAAATATGTGGTCAAGTTAAAGGCAGTATTTGTGCCATGGAGCGGGGGGGGGGTTGCCTTTCTTGTTTCAATAATGTGACACTTCCCTCATCTATCACCAGCCTGAAAAGGTTAGATAGGATTTGCCACGTAAAGGCGACGTCTCTCCCCAGTTCCTCGCTGCTGCAGCAGTGAAGATAAACCAGATGGAAGACAAGACGAGGGGAAGGGAGAGCTCTTCGGGTGCCGAATGAATTCCTGGTTGCCTTTAAAATCTTCACTGGAGCCCTTTCAGAAGTTACCCTGCAGAGGGGTCCAGCCCCAAGCCCACACCAGAACAAGACATCAAGCCAGCACCCAGGGACGTTATTAAAGCAATAAAGCCCAATTCTGCAGACAGAGGATATTTTAGCAGCATCAGTGTAGATTTAGGGTGGTATTAACTCACATTGTGTTCTTACTTCTACAAAAACCACAAGCTGCTCTGTTTACCCAAGCCTCCTGCAGCTCAGAGCCTTGGCAAAGCCAGGCTGGGTTGTTTTGCTGTGAGCAAAATGGACTCCCTGGTTCCACACAAAGGTTAGAAAGGCACGTGGTGGAAGGGAAGCCAAAAACTAAGCAGGCAGAGACCCAAGTCTCACTTCCACATCTCTGCTGTCAGATACTTCCACTCGTTGCCTTTGCTTGTGTTCCTCCTTTATGAGGAGCGACTGGATCTGAAGATCCCGTGTCCCTGCTTGGGACATCAGGTGAGGCACCACCTGAAGACAGGGATGCGTGATTGTGTTGACTCTGCCCAAGCAGGGAGAGATTTCAGTGACCACAAAAGGCAACAGAGCTCAGCTCCCTGCTCTGACAGAGGATTTAGGAAGTACATCTGACCTTGATGCTCACCCAGCACCGGGTGGGAGCTGCATATTGAGACCATACGGGACAGAAGCTGCTGTGGACAGCAGGCCCCTGCTTCCTAAGCAATATGCCACACACAGAGCACAACCTACTGCTTCTACCCAGCACCGGCTGCTGGGACATCCCAGTCCCAGTGGGGAAGGATTCGAAGCATTCAGTTTAATCTAGAGACCTCCAAATGTTTTAGGAGCACAAAATATACGATCCCAAATCCCACAGCAGGGGCCACCTTGACCAGAACAATGGATGCTCTAAATGAGTCCTTCCTGGCAAAGACCCTGGGATTTTGGTATCTGCTTCCTTCCTTCACCAGAGCTTGATTTAACCTTCCAGGACAATGACAAGGGCTGTTTTCCCCTGTGAACGTTCCAAAGGCAGCGAGGGCCACAGCAGCAGTGCAGGAGGCAGGTCCTGTAGCACGTTTCCTGGCTGCTGCTTTCAGACAAGAGGTTACAAGCTCTGGTGAGGCACAGATGCACCAGCAGAAGCAAATTCCAGCCGTACTCACAGCTGCTGGTCTCGATTCCGGTAAATCTTCCCATCCTGTTTGATCAGATACTGGTCAATCTCATCTTCCACCACCTGAGGGGCCCCCACAGGCCGCAAGCTTTGGGAGACAGAGGTGTCCATGGTCTCTGAGGAGGAGCCAGCCGGGCTCGAGGGGTAGAGGAACAGCATATCACCATGCCTGTAGGCGTGGGAAACAGCACAAGGGTATCAGGAGATGCTTCTGGGTAGCAAACCTCCCAGATCACAGAGAGCATGTAATTTATGACAAACTGTATCATAGAATCACATGTAACAACATATAAACTAACATACACTAATATAACCATATAAACTAATCATAGAATCCCAGAATGGTTTGGGTTGGAGGGACCTTAAAGCTCATCCAATCTCAGCCTCCTGCCATGGGCAGGGACACCTTCCACTAGAGCAGGTTGCTCCAAGCCCCTGTGTCCAACCTGGCCTTGAACACTGCCAGGGATGGGTAAAGATGGAGAAAAAGGCAACAGGAGGATATGGAGAGAAGCAACAGCTCCAGCAGGAAAAAGAACTTGTGTGGATCCTGTGCCCATCAAGTCACAGCCTTCCCGAGGCAGCTGCCAGCGCTGACACATTCAAGTGACAAGTTGCAAGCGGTGGTAACAGCTCTTGTATTTTTAACCAGTTTAATGTTACTCTTGACACCAACAGAATGAAAACATTCCCAGCAAACACGAAGCAACTGCACCATTGGCACCGCTCATCCCGGCGCCAGGACTGTCAGACTCTGGCATCGACGCGAAGCAAAAGGGTAGCAAGAGGGAAAGGGGGGGAGGGATCTTGCTGCAGGCTCTGAGAGCAAGCAGGGGCCTGCTGCTGCCTCAGCACCAAACACCCCACCAGAAGTGACCTACGAAACGGCTGCCGCAGCCTCACACATAGTCAGTTTGATCACCCCAGTTTCACACATCAAACTTGTCCCTTCAAGGAGCTGGCAAGTGACAGCCAAAAGCTTGTCTGTGCCCAGAGCCCCCCTGCACCCACCGCGCTCCCTCAGCACTCACTTGATCTTCAGCAAGTTGAGGGATTTGTTTTGCGCCGCTGTGATCTCGCCCGTCCTGTTTCTATTGGTGTACACAGAAAAGCCATTATTCCTGAAGCCAAATTCTTTTGCAACCTGAAAGAGAGAGAAGAATGCCCCGGTTTGAGGTACCTCACACCCTGGGCAGGTGCTCAGGAGCGAGTGCTAAGCCCAGGGAACTTCTACTGCAACACTTGAGCTGAATTCGTCTGCGCTTCTGAAGGGCACCAGATAACCAAGAAAAACAGAAACCCTGAGAAACACAAGAGCCCTGTTTAAAAAAGGAACCGAAACAGAACGTGTCTCACTCACACAACACAAATGCAGCATTTTATCTAAATCCAGGCAAGTGCTGCCATGACTAGAAGGGGGAAGCACTCTCCTCATCACCCCGGTTCTCTCGCTCCAGCCTTGCCAAGTCATTCTCATCCTCCTGTGGCAAGAATTCCTCCATTCAGAGCTTCACCTCTAGGATCTCCTGCCCTCAGCTCCGCTCTCACCCACCAGTTACTACATGAGTTTCACTCAAGCTCTTCCCACTGTTCTCATTTCTGGGTTTCCCCATTTGCCTCTTTTCTCCCAGTGGAACTTACCCTCACAACAGCCACCTCTCAGTCCCAGGCAGGTTTTTCCCTGCTCATCCTCTCACCAGTTCACTTTAAGGCCGCTTTACTCTTGCTCAAACAAACACCTCTTCACAGCCAACAGCAAATTTCACACTGGGCCACTTCAAGACAACGTCAGTTTAAAAGTGCTGTTAGAAGTTTCTCTAGATGACAAATTTCATCCTAAACCCTTAAGCTAACAGCTTGATTTTCATTAAGAACATCCCCCTGTGGCTTTGGTAGGGCTCACAGGCAGCGAGTGCACCCAGGGCCAGCCTCAGGAGCCACAAACACAATTGCTACACAAGCAAAGCCGTGGAAAGCAGCTTCTCTGTTCCAAACAGTTCATCTCCTGACAGAGTTAAACATTATCTCATCAGGCCACAGACTTCACAAATCCCACACGACATCACCAAGAGGCTCCTACCACGATTCCAACCTGCACACAGCCCAGAGGTCACTTTGTCAGTGCTCTTACCAAGGAGGTGCTATAAGAGACAGAAGATTATTGAGCCCCTCCTCACTCTGGTTTCTTGCTTCTTTTGTGGCTTCTCTGGAGTCAAGGGGGAAGATCCAAGCTAACTGTCAGCACAGAAGCAGCAACCTGCTGCTGTTTTAATCACAGCAATCTAGCTAAATACAAATCCACCATATGTGTTAAAATCCACAGCTATTAATACGCACAGATCTTGGGTGGTCACATTTGCAACTTTCCTCTTTCAAGCAAACCCTGCACCAGGAAACCCCCCCCCCAAACGCGTCTTGTTTTCAGCTCAGGAAGAGGACAGAGTTTTCCCCAGGCCAAGAGGCAATGTCAGTGAGTGCTGATGCTTTTGTTTCAACCAAGTGGTTGCAGGAGGATTGTTCCACACTGCCTCGGGTAACATGAGCCCCTGAAAGCAGCAGCTTGTTTTGCACAGGGATTTTGAAAGGCTTTTCTTTCCTTGGGTGAAGCTGTCGAGAGTCCGAGGGGTGGCTCTGACCCAGCCCTGAAACCCATCAGGATTTTCGCCTGGTCAGGTGGGGATTGATGTGATGGTCTGAGCCCAAGCATCAAACAAAGCCAATGACTCACAGAGAGCAGAAGGTTTCACTCTGTTCCCATTCCCCCTCGCAGGGGGAAAGGAAATGGAGCTGACTGAAAGAATGGCCCTTCAGACACAGGAACACAAAGTACTTCTCTTATAAAGCAAAGGAATCCTAATCTGACAGTTCCAGGTTACAGCAGAGTTCCAGGAGGGAAGGAAACAGAACTGTTCACTCTTGAATAGCAAACTTTAAACACTGAGCAGTTGAATTGAGACCAAAGAACAAGCTACAGCCAATTCCAGATGTGACATGTCCAGCACTCGTGTGCTCTCCTCATCCCAGGGTGGAATCCTTCCCAGCAGATGCCAGAGGCTCCCGCATCACCTTAAGAACTCGCCTTAATCCCTTCCCTGCTCTCTCCAAAACCATACTGGAAAACCAGGAGCACACAAAGCATGTTCAAGTGATATTCAAAGCACAAATCAAGCAGCTGAGTCTGACCTGAAAAGGCCGGAGGCTTCAGCTATCAGCTTTCATAGAGTCACCGACTGCTTGGAAGGGACCTTAAAGCTCATCCAGCTCCAATCCCTGCCACGGGCAGGGACACCTTCCACTAGAGCAGGTTGCTCCAAGCCCCTGTGTCCAACCT